GAGAGCATCTCTGTTGGTAGGAGTACGTCGCGACTTATCATAAACAGAAGCACTAGCAGACACAGTAATATTGGAAGCGTTAGTGAGAGCAGCACTATTATTATCATCGATTTGCGAAGCGTCACACACAGGAACAGGTGGAAGAGCAGCCGACAACAAAACATTGTTGACATTAGCGCAAGACGTGACAGCTTCATGATCAAAACATTTGGATATGTTATCACTGTTAAACTTCTCCACAGCAGTAATCATACAAGAGCGTAGGTCACTCAACTCGGCCTTTAGTGAAGCGATCGCATCGTCTTTTTCAGGTATAACACGCTGCATAGAAATAATAACATCGTGCATGTTATCAATTTTTATCATTAGTTTGTTGTTTTCTTCGCGCTGGGCAGCAATGGAATTGAGAATTCGGCTATTGTCGGCTTGAAGAGAGACGATGACACTATGCAAAGATCCCATGGTTATTTGTTGCTGTGGGGTTTTAGCATCGTTTGCATTACTAGTAGATTGTTTTTGGGAAGTCGTCGATTTATTAGATCCCTGCGTTATTTGTTGCTGTAGGTTTTTATCACCGTTTGCATTAGTAGTAAATTGTTTTTGCGAAGTTGTCGATTTATTAGCACTTTTAAGAGAGTCAGACTTCGTCATATTAGAAGATGTAGATGGCTAGGGACAGGGGAGGCGAACGAATTGATTCTCGGCGCCTGTCCGCGCATACTTTACAAAAAAAACCTCTATCTGAGCTGGCAAGAAATTCTGCATCAGCGGGTTGTATACCAACACAAGTTAAATGAAAAAGTTCATTGCACTTAACGCACTGAATCGTTTGTCGAGATCGATCAACCTTTTGATCACATATGCACGGAATTTTTTATTACGGCAAATCAATGAATTTTTATTATTTTTATGTTCACGAAAGAGTCACTGTCTCATTTGTTATAGAGTTCACATTCGCACCAAATGACCCATCATAGAAAATGTGAAGACCGAGTATATCACACAAAGATCCACTTTGTTATTCAACTATAGCTGACGAGCAGAGAAAATACGTCCGCACTGCACGACCGACATATTGTAAAAATTGTTATAAAGGCCAAAAAAATTACAAAAACAAGTAAGATATTTTATAAATAATAATACAAAGTCTACTGAGAAAATCGTCAAAATCTATGCTGTATAAGCTTTATCTCCTATAGCAGTGATTGTTCAGATACCAGTTTTTGCCATATATCTCCTTTATGTAGGAAACTAAACCCAATAAATTGTGTTACCGGTTTACATACCGATCACATAGCAGTGAAAATCTTCCATACCTCTGATTGTTTAGATGCGATTTTTATATAAGTATGTAACTCCTCTATCGATGTATGCAGATGTATTCAAAAGCAGTAATCTGTCAAAGAAAAATTTGCAGATGTTCATGAAAGGTATGAAGCCTTCGGCATAGCCGAAGACAACGCTGCTCTTACTTGTTTTATTTTTTTTTAACAGTCACGCGGTCAAGCCGTGCGGACGTCTTCAGTTCGCGTTCTCTGTCTAGTTGAAAATTTCGTATTTTATATTCTTCTCGTCGCCCAACATATGTGCAAATGTTGATGTGCTTGTACACTACTGTGGTTTGCTGTTACCGAGATAGAGACTCTAATCAAATCGCTAAAATTTGTCGAGTATAATATCATAATGCCGTGTGTTTGTGGGCAAAAAGTGGGGCGGACACAGCATAAAATACAATGTGCTAAGTGTAATGACCTGTTTCACCTAGCTGATGTAAATATGAACCCAACTGATGTTGAGTTCTTGCTCAATTCTGATAAGCCATTTCTCTGCAATGGTTGTGCTGGGCCTCGGCCATGATTCAATAATACAAGGTTAGATAATTATTGACAGCCGCGGTTTGACACTCCCTTACAGAAGGTTGCATTTACGAAGGACGGAGAAAGACGAAGAATGAAATCCCTTGGTGCGTAAATGGTAGTAGAAAAGCACGCAAAGTAGGCAATTAGTAGTAAATTCCTTTTGTAAATTCCAATGTATTTGCAGGAAATCTGGCATTTTAAACGAAATACTGAACGTAATATTACAATATCTACGTGAATTAAGTATTTTATGTGCTATTTAGCTGTATAAAAACTGCAAAAGGGCTCAAAATTAATTTAAAACTACTGCGACTTTTATGTAAATATCCAATTTAAAAAAAGTTTATGTTTTCATAAGTTAAATGTGCTTCATATGTATATACAAATAAACATATTGCACAAAAGCTTATACTTCTATTTCATACCAAAGCTACACTTTTTCCAAGTGAATTTGCAAAGAAGCAACACGGTGCCACAGCTAAGGGAGCGGTGCGAGAGAGACAACTGTCAGTTTATCGAACCTTGTATTATTGAATCATGGGGCTCGGCGTGAATCCATGCGTGCGTCAACACCTATCGTCGTTTCTGAGGACAGTGTAGTTGCTGCTTTGCCTAACAACACGGCTACCTCAAGTAGTCAAACAGGCTCACAACGCAACAATAATGAAACTGCTCATCATCAGTTAAAAATGCCATTTTCATCCTCTCCGTCTCTACAAGTGTGTAAAGGTTCAGGCAGCAAGTTCAATCAAATTGACGCTAAGCAAGCAATATCACTACAATCCATGTTCGATGAGATTATTGCCCTTAGAGCTGAGAATGTCCATGTTTTTACTTTAGTCAATGCATTAGCGGATGATAATAAACGGCTTATTAGCAAAACGGAATCCCTTGAAGCCAAGTTACACTCATTGCAGAGTAAACTGTGCACCGATGGGCTTGCCGAGTCGATCAATGTGCTCACTACCGAAGTTAAAAATCTTCGCTCGAACTGCAGAATCGTCGCGAGTGTGAAATCTCAGTCTTCCACTCACTGTGCTAACTCTGTTATCGCTAATACCCCAGCTTTAACGACTGCTATGCATCATACTTCGTCAGATACATGTATGTCTGAGTGTAACATAGACGTTGCGTGTGAGAAATCTCAACCTTCCGCTCGCAGTGTTAATTCTAGGGATGAAACGATACGAGTAAATACAAGTACATACTCGATACTTTTCGTTCGATACCAAGTAATTTTGGCATCGATACTTTTGAACCAAGTACTGAGTAGGTATCGAAAAAAAAGTACTCGTATCGAAACCCGATACCAAGCTAAATTTTGCTCCAAAATTTGTTCCTCTATTTTTATGTCTCATATGAATCGCCCTGTGCTTTTGGCAACTTAATTGCCAGCGAAAACCGCGAGAAGGCGCCAAAGTCGACGTAATGCAAAGTATACACGCTCCAATTGCTTCACCAAAGTTGAGGGTTTGCAACGTTTACACGGCCAGTTGTTCGAGTGGAAGGTTGAAGTGGATGAATATTCAGTACAGACGTTTTAACGCGATTTAAAGTCACTGAGTAACTCTATTATTCTTCGCGCTGTAAACATTAGCGGGCAATACTAATGGTAGGGGCAAATAGCTCTGATATTGAAGAAAATATACAAAGAAAAAAAGTTGTTTCAAAATATAAAAACAATTCTTAGAAAACACTAAAATATTAAACGTATCCCAAGCACAAAAAATTTAAACGCTATCTTCGAATCCGGTCAGTAGAAAATATATATATACACACAATTTCGATTTTTACCACTATGTATTTTCCTTAAATTTTGCGTTATAATGGGGGTGCAAAAACATTTCTCTACTGCGCAGTTTTCTTTCTTTTGACATATCATATGGCTACCTTAATTTACTTCATTATTATTATATTGCTAAAATTCTTCATCATAAGTAACTTTTGGGTGATATTATAAAATATCGAAATTTTACTTAAACCTCTTATATCTTCTTTATTGAACAGCAGGCTCGATACAAGCCACATTTTGTCTATAGCTAAACGGTTATTATTATAGACTTATGCCACAATTAAGGAGCTGGAACCAATTTTTTACAAATACTATGGGCGATTGATAAAACCAAAACCAGCTTTTTAAAATCATAAGTGAAATTTGAAAACAATTATTTTTTTAAACAGAATGCATTTAAACGTTTCTATCTTTATTATAGTGCGATTTTTAAAATGTCGCGAAGTGGCATTATTGGCGCAATGGCAACACTGCGAACGAAGTTGTATGACCGACCTGTCGCAACTCTAGATTGCAAATGTAAAATTTGTTTTAAAATGCCGTGCGTAAGTGTAAAAAAAAGTGTTTAAAATTATATTTCGAAGCAGCCTTAACTTATATAATTTTTATTGAAATATTCGAAGACAATAAAAATACATGTGTTTCGCGACTTTGACTTTGTAATGATTGCCAGCTCAAATAATACGGCAATTGCGCAATTTTGTCGCAAGAAAGTTTCCATACAAAAGTAAACAGCTGTGTCGTAAGGTGGAAAATTTTGCAACAAATGCGACATTTGCAAAAACTTTGCGACGTTATAAATCCAATTTATGACTTAATCACGATTAAAATATTACAAAGTAAAACTATTGAGGGGCAGTCTGACGTTTGCAAACAATATACTTTTAAAATTCAAAACTCAAACTCACACACACATTTTCATTTTCAATATCAAACAACAACAGTTCTGAACAATTTAATTTGTTTACTTTAAATTTTATGTGATTTAAAATGCTTCCAAACGCTAGAAAATAAATCATAGCCGACGAATTAAGAGAAGGTTTTTACCTCGTAATGTTTTTATCATGATAATTTCTATGAAATACGATGAAAAAAATGTGCCGTCCTGCATTTCTATCATATTTCTTTTATATTCCCTGTCAGCATTTTGTTTAAATATTATTCTCTTGATTATTATCTGGCTATCATTTCTGAAATTTCAAAAAAATGCTGGCTTGGCGTCCAACATTATCATATTGGCTAAACAGTTGGAACATGTAAACCTTGCCTAATTCTAATTTGTGAACAACTTGTCAAACAAAAAATTACGCGTCCTTTAACGTACGAGAACCTTCTAGAAGCGAAGCACTGGAAAAATTTGGTAGAATCAATAGCTGCCAATTAATTGAAAAGTGTTTGCGTCGTTTGATGTCTAGAGCTACAAAGAAAACAAAATCATTGTGTGGTCCTACAAAAAAAAACAGAGTTTTGCCGGCAAAATTGAGGACAAGGTAAGTGGAAACTTCTATATTAATTAATAAATAACCCAAATTTACTTTTAGGGAACTTATAGACTCGGATTCCAAATAAAATAAATTTGAGCAGAAGCCAGAAAGGGTGAGCCAAGCGAAGTTAGTAAATTTATGTATACATATACACACAACAAAATAAGTTGCGTTCAATATTTTTTGTTTACAAAATTCAAAATTTCTTATAAAATATCAGTTCAAAACGTTGTGCAATTTCTGGGAAAAATCAACGAATTCCCAAAATACCTATGTACATATGTGTGTATGTTGTAAAAATTCCGTATTTGTATAAATACTTAGTTCCTGGAAGTTTTTCGAGTATGCAGCTTTACGTGCCATTCAATTATAGCATACATACTAAAGTGCAAGTTGTATGTATATTTTCATTGATTCCGTGGAAGAAATGCGCAACATTGTCTGCGAAAAAATTAAAAATATTAACGGAGATTTTCAGCTACTTAAAACTTGCACTTTAGTATGTACATATGTATAATAAAAGCTGTATACTTGGAAAACTTCTTGAAACTCTTTATGCACATTTGGAAATTGTATGACATATTTTGGATGTTTGTTGGTTTTTTCCTAAAATTGCACGTTTTAAACTGTAAATTATGTATCGCCAACTAAAATGCAAAACAACGTGTCATTAAAAAATTCGAGTTTTTTATTCATTACGATGGACTACATCATATTACTTATAATAGATTATATTATAATTACAAGTAATTATATTAAATAATATAATAATTATTACATATAATTAAATTATATTAAACAATATAATGATTATTATAATTAGATTATAATATATTTTATGTAATATGATGTAGGAATCGTAATCAATAAAAAGCTCAATTTCGAATTTTTTGATGTTACGTTGTTTTGCATTTTAGGTGACGATATATAATCTAAGTTAAGGAATGAGCAATTTCTTTTAATAAGCAATAAGTAAAAAAATGTATCGAAAGAAAAATATTAGATTGTTAAAAGTACATACACTGAACGCGGGCTTATTCAGCCGGCTGTACATACAGAATAGAACAGTAGTGAAAACGAAATCGTACCTCTTGCACTTTTAAGTCTTAAGCAGCGTAGCATTAAATAGTTGAAAAATTGTGTTTTGGTGATTAGATTCTTGTGATTGTAAAAAATTATTTTATGATGCCCATTTATAGCGTTGCGCGAAAAAAAAGGTACAGTGATGTGATTGTTATAATTTTATTGTTTTTAATTAAATAATCTTTTGTACGTTTTTCTTGATAATATAGTTAGTTTTATAAAAAACACCTTTATATTTCAATCCTCATTTTTGCACAAAATTTGGTACTCAGATTTTGGTGTTTTTTTTTATTGAACTGACTATATTAAAATGAAAAATGTATAAAGGTTTTTTTAATTATTTAATTAGAAACAAAGGAATTATGTACACCTGCGTTCAACTATTTAGAAACGAAATTCAAAATGATATTTTTTGCAAATCATTTTTATTTTTTTATTTTTAATAATTTTCTGCATACCCGAAAATTTTCTAAATATTCTGATTAAAAATTTGGAAATTTGTATGACAATTTTTTGAAGTTTGATTAATTTTCTTTACATGCATAGATAAACATAATTTGCAAACCATATCATTTTGAATTTCGATTCTAATTAGTTGAACGCAGGTGTATATCAAAAACTGAATTGGAAGGAAGGAAAGTTAACATACAATATAAGAAAAATGCCTCCACGAAAGTCTGAAGTGTGGATATATTTCCATAAACAAGATGATAAAAATGCTAAATGCAAGAAATGTTTTACAATGTGTTACCCAACATTTGGTTCTGTTTAGGAATAAATTTCCTTTTTCAACTAAAGCTAACAATTAAGTCTTTGCATGCTGGTTCTGGTATTTTACATTATACCGAGTTACTAGAAAAGTCTTCCTAGATACGTACATATTTACATAATAACGGTAGTTCAAGCAACCGATCTTAACTGGCGAGGCTTGGTTGAAGTTTTATTGGTGATTTTTATTAATTATAGGCAAAAAAAATATTTTTTATATAATATTTAAAATCGAATTTCTAAACGGTTAAGTTTTGGACTTCATTCCATATAACCAAATTAATCAGATATTATCTAAACAATAATGTTCTTAAGCATCTAGGATGACTTTTCCGATAACCCTGTATACATACATACATATACAGTTGCGGTCAAAACAATAGAACCAAAATTCAAAATGATATTGTTTGCATCTTATGTTTATTTAATTATTATTAATAAATTTTATTTAAAACATAGTTCGATTAATAGCAGAAAACACAAAAACAATAGTTTCAAAGCTTGCACAAAGTTCACAAAAATTAATCCATCTATGTCTGCTATTAATCGAACTATGTGTTAAGATGCAAACAATATCATTTTGAATTTTGGTTCTTTTATTTTGACCGCAACTGTATATGTACCAAAAATGCTTTGTGTTTGCTGAAAAATTATAGAATACAAGATTGCGCATTCCCGGCGGCGATGGCATTTCACAACTTAAAGTTAATAAAGCCGAATAGGAGGATAAAAGAAAAGAACACACCGCCAATTTTCGTAATATTCAATTTCTTTGAGAGCAAACCCGGTTTAATAAAAATGTGAATTTTGTTAAAGTATTAATGAATCACTTAAACTTTCTGAGGCGTTGTTTTCTTTTACTTGAGAATTGTCAAAATCGGCCAAACCAAAGTAGGGGTTTGCGGAATGCGCCATCTTTGTTCCCTTCATCATGGTGTTTGCTGGTGTTTTAACCGAATTCATTTTATAGAAGGAAACAAAAGGAAGCAGATTTGGATGTAATCGATTTAGAAGAAGGAAGTTCGTCGCCATCGTCAACAAGTTCTACTCGATCGTCTGTTTGCAGTAAAAGCCAATCTAGTCAAATTACCACTCAGTCATCGACGTCAACGCCAACTAAACAATTTAATCCTCTAAAAGCTGCTTTTTAAAAAGCGTGTTCCCAAAAAGGTACGAAATTTACAGTAGTAATTGATATACACCTTTTTATTAATAAAACGGAAGGTACTCGCAATCTGGCACGTATCGCACGCACACCATCTTCAAAAGAGACACAACTCAAAAATCAGATCCGAAAATATAACTGTTTGTGGATCGTACAGATTCAATGCAATTAATACGGGTATAACAGTTGTTTTCTGGTTAGAGAAAATATTCATGGAGAAAGAAATATTTGCATTAATTGGAATTGATTCATGCAAAAAAATCTATCTAATTTATATTTTTTTTAGTTGTGTCCCTTTTGAAGAACGTGTGGGATATGTTTTCAATAGACATAAATCAAAAATTTTATCGAAATATGCAAATGTGCGACTATTTGCTTAAGAGCATGATTACCATTGTTATATTACACACATAGACAAATTTCCTACTAACACAATTAAAAACCGTATATGTACACAGGTACGTAACTGTTTCTTCCACCACTGTATGTATGTATGTGCATATTACCGCCAAATACTACGCACATACACATATATGTACATACCCTGCAAAAAATTGTGCGACTAATCTCTAAAGAGATTATTCCGGGATTACTCTCAATCGGGTACAATTGGGTATTAATTAGTCCCAACTAGTCTCATTCGGGTACTAATGGAGGTTAATTAGTCTCGACTCATCCCTTATGGGTATAATACACACATACACACATACATGGTATGACCCCTGCAAAAAATTGTGCGACTAATCTCTAAAGAGAGTATTCCGAGATTACTCTCAATCGGATACAATTGGGCATTAATTAGTCGCAACAAGTCTTATACGGGTACTATTGGAGATCAATTAGTCTCGACTCATCCCTTACGGGTATAATTGGAGATCAATTAGTCCCCGACTCATCTCTAACGGGTACTATTAACAACTTAATTATATGTACGCACTTAGTAAATGATATTTCATGTGCGGCGTTGGCACACAGAGAGAGTATTCGCCTAACAAACCTGAGCACCCCGGTTCGAATCTGAGCTGGCGCAAATTTTTATTTTTATTTTTTAAAAGTGAATAGTCGCTTTTTATACCCGTTCGGGTATAAAGGTGAACAATTAGTCTCTTCATAGGACATGCTCGAACAAAAGCGAACAGTTCATTCCATATAAAGAGATCAAATGTGGTATTAGTCGCATGTTCCTTTGCGATTGCTCCCGGAGTCATCCCGGATTAGTCGCATTTTTTGCAGGGTGGTTTCAGAAGACTAGTGTATTTTCGCATGTTGGTTGTTGTTGTTGTAATAGCATAAAAATTCCCCAAAGGGTTTTTGGGGAGTATTTCTGTAGTGACAGTCCTTGGCCAGATATAAATCTGGGTGGTTCCGGTTACGTAGACCCGACTGTCGTGGGAACGTCGCATGTTGGTCTGATCAGACGGTCTGGAAAGACTAGCGTGTCGAGGCTCGATCACCTCGATAAGGATATTTAGCCTGCGTTTAGTGTGACAATAATATTGGGAGGGAGTTTCGGCAAAGGAGCTTTGATGTTTTTAGAGCGCGATGTTAAACATATATGTTAACATTGTGCATTTATTCCTTTTTCAGACGGTGGTGCTAAATGCAGAAGTATAACAGAATGTATTTTGTACTTTATTTGTAAAGATATGCGACCGTTTCATATTGTTGAAGGCGAGGAATTCTTGGAATTAATGAAAGAAGTAGCTCCTGTGTATAAAGTGCCTTCCTCCACACATTTTAAAAAACTACTTTGCGATAAATATGACGTAATGAAGAGGGAGTGGTCTGTTAAAATATCTAAAGCAAATGACTTGTGCATGACAATTGATGTCTGGACCGAGACTATGAATGAAAAAAGTTTTTTGGGAATAACGACACATTTTATAGAGCAAGCATCTATTACAAATTTAAATATTGCTACCAGAGAACTCAATACTAACCATACAGCTGAGTATATATCCAACGTGTTTTCTGATATTCTCAACGATTGGAGAATTCCATTGACCAAAATTACATGCACAGTAACTGACAATAAGGCAAATATGGTAGCGGCGATAAGACAAACCCTAGGCGAATCCAAGCACTTGCCTTGTTTTGCACATACAATCAATTTGATCGTTCAGTCGTCCGTAAATATTGCTTCCATACAAGCTCTTATAAGCAAAGTAAGAAATATCGTAAAATGGGTGAAGAACAGCGTAATAAATTCAGATAAATTGAGAAAATTACAAATCGAGGCAGGTGTTCCCGAAGGATCGACTAAAAAGTTTATTATTGACATAAAAACACGCTGGAATTCACTATATTACATGCTAGAACATTTTCTGGACATGTTCAAACTTGCATCTGCACTGACACTTGATTCAACAGATAGTCCGGAGATGTTAACGGGCCAAGAAATTGAAGCGATCAAGAAAATTGTTCAGCTATTAAAGCCTTTTGAATTCGTGACTAAAGAAGCTTCTGGACAGAATTACGTAACATTATCTAAAATTATACCAATGGTGAGCTGCCTTATATCTGAGGTGCGTAAATTTTCCACATCCATTGAATGCGTCATCCAGCTTCAATCAAAACTCATGGCAGAGTGTAATAAAAGATTTGGTCTTATCGAGTACAACACATATGCAGCTTTCGGTACAATTCTTGACCCAAGGTTCAAAAATCTTCACTTCCAAGATGCCAACGCTTGCGGTAGGGCTATACAAAAATTGAAAAGTATTATAGAGGTAGATGTGTCAACAAGCTCAGAAGAGGAAGATGTAGCCAAGGATGACTTCGACTTCTGCTCGCCGTCGGTCAAAGAAAAAAAAGGTCTACAAAAGGTGACGAAGTGTCCTTATATTTATCCAGCCCAGTATCTTGCCTGAAGTCGAACCCATTAGAAGAATGGGAGGAGCTGAAAACTGCGTTTCCTTTGTTGTATAAACAAGCACGATCATATTTACATATAGTTGCAACATCTGTTCCTTGCGAACGATTGTTTTCGAAAGCAGGAGCAACAATAACCACGTCAAGAAATAGGTTGACTGGCAAACATTTGGAAAAACTTCTATTCTTGGGAAGTACAACAAAAGAAGACTTTTTTCGCTGAAATATTTTATTACTAATGTTTTCTTGAATAACATTAACTTGTAACCTTTTCCAATGTATATGTATCAGTGTAAATGCCATTCATCATTAAACATATAGTTCTGTTATGTAACGGAGTTTTATTTATTTTCCGTTCCTACATTATTAAATTTTATTATTCGGAGTTTGGGATTCCCGGACTATGATTAACTTGTGATTTAAAAAAATAAATTTAACTTAATACGGAATACACAAAGTACCGATACGAGTAGGTATCGATACTTTAGGTCCGATATTTTTCAGGCATCGATACTTTTTTTCGATACTACTTCCCAGTAAAAGTATCGATACCTGCATGGTATCGTTTCATCCCTAGTTAATTCTGTTAACTCAGCTATGGTTACTCCCCCAGCTTTAACAACTGCTATGGATCACACGTCGACAACTACTTGTATGCCTCTGCTGACATATACGCTGCTGCTGCCGCTGCCGCCGCCGCCGCCGCCGCTACTGAAATAAAGTGCTGATGGTTCACTATTAAGTGGACAAGCACAGTGGGTCACCATCCAAACGAAGAGGAACAAAAAGAAGAAGGAAAAAATGTACGCAACGTTGTTATTGGGCGCAGTATCAGTACTGAATTAGATGTCGCTGATACAAAAAATGGCTACATTTGTCTTCTTTTAAACCAAATGTGTCTGAGGAAAATATAATTTCTTTCATGGAAAAAAATACTGGAATCGACAGAATTAGCATTTCTTGTTCGCTTACGAAGATCAATTTTAAACTGGGTGTTATTGCATCTCAATATGACAAGGTTTTGGACCCAGCGCTTTGGCCTACCAATATCAAAGAGCGTCCCTTTCAGTTTTTTCAACGAAGAGGGCATCCCAAAGAGCAAACCTAACCATTTCCAAAATATCCGTGCCAGCGTTCAAGAATTTGAAGATAAACTTTCAAAATATGGGTGGCTTACGTACAAAGTCGGACGACATTCTCATCCGTAGCTCAGTTTCGGATTTTGACGTCATAGTCTTCGTGGAGACTTGGTTAAATGCAAACTTTTTAGATAGTGAATATTTCAATCCGACCTTATTCAACGTTTTTCGGAAAGATCGGGATGTCAATAGTACAGGATTTTCTCGCGGTGGTACAAGAATATCGCAGTTCGGCGTTATCTTCATACATTTGTTGTCCCGCTCAGCGACAATGACCCAATATTAGATCAAATGTGTGTTTGCATCAAAGGTACTCCTGAATTTGGCTGGTAGTAATTTTAGTCTTTATAAAACTAATACAGACAATATTTCATATTTGGTTCACAATGTGTTAACAACTAGTCATCTATGTGTGTTCGGTGATTTCAGTCTTCCAAACATTATCTGGTCTAATAATCTGTCAAAATGGGGTCTTATACCAACGAATGTTAATACAGAGGTCGAATCTTACTTTGTTGATGATATTTTAAGTCTTAACTTTGTGCAATTGAATTGTTTCAAAAACAAGCTTAATCGAATTTTAGATCTCGTTTTTGTTAGTGATAATATCAACGCTACTATTTCGGAATGTTACTCGCCGATCTTGCCTACAGACAAGCATCATGTTTCCGTGGCCCTCAACGTAAAGTTTTATGAATTTACAGGCACTAAATGTGAAGAGACAATGGCTCTTAATTTCTCAAAGTGGGACTTTTCAAGGGTCAATAACTCTTTAATCAAAGTTAACTGGGATGAGCTGCTCTTGAGTTCCGCTACCTCGGATTGTTATTCTGCCTTTAGGTCTAAAGTGGTAGAGATTTGTCGCCAAAATATTCCACTAATTCGTAAATTGACGTATAAGCTTCCTTGGTATACACGAGATTTAAAAAAGCTAAAGAATCGGCGAAATAAGCTTCATAAGAGGTCTAAACAATATAATACTCTCTACGCTTATACATTATATCTTCAATGTTCGAAAAAATTCAACTTTGAATAAATTTCTGTATAAAAATTACATTTTGGGCGTTGAAAGCAACATCAAATCTAGTCCTAAGTATTTTTGGCAGTTCATTAAGTCTATGAAGTCTACCTCTGGAGTTACATCTGCGGTTTTCGGTAACTCAACTTATACGGCAAATTTTACCATTTTGCAAATTGTTATTTGCAAATGATACGTGCGTATAAACGTAGTAAGAGATACCTACGCACACATTTTTCACAAAATTGTCTGCTCCATTTTTGGTTCCATTTTGCTCAGAAATGAAATTGGGATGAATAGATTAGGGATTATTGTAACGCTGGTATGCCAAAATTGCCAAAATTATAACAACCACCCCCTAAGTGACAACACATTATTATTTCACCATGGCCTTGAATAAAGGCAAACGGTGAGAAAATTTTGTGTTCGTTTCTTAATATGTGACACTCTTGCAAGGCAAACACGGCACATTCTGTGCTCTTTAAAGCTTTATCAGGGGAGATGGTTTTTGCTTAAAACGAGAATATTAGATATGTAAAGCGTGAACTAGACAAAGACAAGAAGGCAAAAACATGCCCTTTTACAGGGGTGAGTGTATCAATAGACACATTTTTCAACGTGGAAGGACAACATTTTTGGGAAGAAACGAAATCCCCATTAGTTTTTATTCATAAGGACCAATGTACTTGAGATTTTTATCAAATTACTTACATCAGTGTCGCCTTTAACCCCATTTTCAATATCAACCAAGCGTTCAACAAATATCTTATTTAACTGTCCATTCAGTTTAGCTACATCACCACAACTATCCGCCTCGGCGCGATATTTCACTAGGCGCTGCTTCAAAAAATTCCCATCTTGCTGTGGGAGCTTGCATGACTGGCATGACTTCGTTGACTGCGGTGTCTTCTTTGAACAGTGTTTCTCAGATTTGCCGTGTTTTGACTGACATCTCGTTGTTGACAACTTACATGTTGAATGTGTTTGTTCTACCCATGACTCTATTTCCGGAAAGTGCGGATAATCTTTGAGTTCATGAGAGTTTAAAGACTCTAAGGGGGCTGACGACTTTGAAACAACACTTATTGACCCTACATTCGTTGGAGAACTAATAACGGATGTTTCGCTGCTAATATGACTGGGTACAACTATGTTAAGAATAGTTGGCGGACTTGCAGACACATCTTGCCCAGTTTTAAGTGAACCCAGTGTAGACATCAAGCGGAATTGTCGGTTACGAGGCCGTCCACGAACTTGCGGGCATATGTTTGGATTTAGCTTGGTAGTGTTTCTAGCTCCTCCATTCGCGTTTGGATTTGTACAAGGAATTTGACTCATAAGAACAAAATTTTGAGCGCTATCTTTCCAATGACGATCCTGTGAGTTTTTTGTTATTGACGATATTAAACAAGTTCAGTCTTTAAATGGTATCAAAATGACAATTTTTTTATCTTTTAATTTTTATTTTTCAATTGCTACTTTTGTTTTTTACATTTTTATAGCACACACGCATTACACAAAAAGAAGGTAGTTTCAATCATGGTACAATGGGCACGTTCAGAAGGCGCAACAGCTCAGTAACTGTTGCGATTGCCCCTTCTGAATGCGTTGTTCTGGACTTCTGATCACCTGGAAAATTGCATGTTAGATGATCGTAATATTTTTCTGATCATTTGAGACAACATGTTGGTGTGCATGATTCAATAACCAAAGGTTTGCCC